ACTTTTGCAAAGGTGGGTATCCAGGAGCGATGTGTTCACACTTCACAGCAAAGTCAGGATGGAAACACTGGGGTGTCCGAGTCCCGCAGGCCTGTCCGCTGCCAGGGCATGTGGGGTGCTTTGAAGCACATGCCGTCACTAAGTGGAATCTGCTGGGCAGCAGCGTTCACAGCGTGCATCATTGCTGATCATTTAAAATAAAAACAGAGTAACGGGAAACCTAGCAAATGTGCTTCTAGTGTCCCACCGTTTCAGAGATGAATAGGACGTCCTGAAGAAAGTATCAGCGCTGTTGATAGCAAGTTAAGGAGCCCTGGGCTGGAATGAAACATGCTTCGATTCAAGAAAAGCAGTTAAAATATGTTAATAATGGAAGAGGTGGGCAGGAGGATTGCCTTGTGCATGCAGTCCTTCTGTCTTGGTTATTTGCCCTTTCTCTCTCACATACAGGCTCACATCATCAGACTTGCAAGGCAGTTTTGCATTCAATACACACTTTAACCCTGCGTGTTTGGATATACAAGGCTTGAAATCCTGTTAGGAATTGGCTTGTTTCCTGACTTCCCTTGCAGTCCCCCAAGAACAGTGCTCTAAATCCTTCTTAGCATTTCTCCCCAGACGCTGCTGGTCTGATCTGGTAGCACTAGTGGAGCCATCCAAAGTTCCCTGCCCCCTCCCCAGAGTACCACCCAAAAGGTGAAAGTGTTCACAGCACGATGACAAGCTAGCTTTACGCATCATCTTCCAGCTCAGGCTTAATTAAACAGTTTTCTTTCTTCCTTTCTCTCTCTCCCTCTCTCTCTCCCCCAGTATCCCTCTTGCTTCTCTCTCTCTTTCTTTCTCTCTCTCCCTCTCTCTCTCTCTCTCTGTGTTTTATCATCCCTAATGAAGCAGTCTTCTCCATCGATCCTGCTGATTGCCAGCCCATTCCTTTTGTTTGTTGGCACTGAGCCATTCAGCCGCACTCTGACAGCTCAGCTCGTCTAATTAGCTCTGTTGTTCTTTTCCCCATGTTTCACCACGTTGCAAGTTCAGTCGAAGTTGCCACAAACTTAATCCTTCCATTCCTGCCATAAATTCACATTCTTAAGCTGTCTTTATTGTAGAGAGGAGCAGCCTTGTGTGGGGACTGATCTTGGAGACCTTAACATCTGACCTTTCTATAAACCTGTTTTTTTTTTTTTTTCCCAAGGAACAGTGGCAATCCATCTCTGTAAATTTCTCCATCATTTCTGCTGTGCGCTGTCTCCTTTGAAATGAAAATTGAAGATGATAATCCTGCTATTATCTTCTGCATGTTGGTGTGTAGCATGGAAACCCAGTCCACAGAATTAGGTGGCTTTTCCCTGGTGTGGGTCCTTTCTGCTCCCACAGCCGTGCAAAGGCAGGGGGAAGCCCTTGTCTCACCACAGACACATTCACCAGTGGTGCAGTGTTCAGGTCCTAGTCCTAAAGAGTGGTCTTTGCTCTGCACGGGCCCGGGGAGGGGGACAGGAGTGGAGTCGTGTCCCTTAGTTTGTTTGGGGCCATTGGGGTTCGCGTTGAAAGTGGCATTAGGCTACATCAGCAGTAGGATGTTTTTCTTGCAGGCTGTTCTTCCACCCCAAAAGCTAGAGACCTGAGCTGCCCAGGGTGGCCGTGACCTCGCAGAGGCTTGGCTCCCTTGAGTACTGTCGTGGACTTCCCCAGCATTGCTCACGTGAGCATAGGCAGCATTGGCATGATCATGGTCTGCAACTTGTGTGTCCTCTTTGGTGCCTTGAAGCAGTGCCGGCAAAAATAAATTAAAAATAAAAGCCTGGTTGCCAACATCAGAGATGATGGATAGGCAACTTCAGAAGAGACTGGTAGAAACGGTATGACATCTACCTGCACAAAAACTTCAGAACTGAAGACAACTGGATGAAATGCACACACGGAGCATTAGTGGAAACATACCTAACAATGTTTTCCATTCAAGTGATGAAAGGAATCAAACCTTTATGGTGTTCTGTAAATTAATAATGCTTTTCACGCTTTCACATCTCTTTGAGTTCCCCATTTCTTTCACTGCTCACTTACGCAGAAGCGATTGCTTTAGAAGTTGGTTTGTTACAAACAGGCAAACAAAAGGAACATGGTGTTGGAGTTAAAGCCTGGTTTCCAGTATAATGCACAGCAACATACAGACTTTCCCATATCCGTTGCAGCAATTAACTCTTTGGGTGGATTATACAGTTAGGGTCCTTGATCAGAAGCCCTGCTGTTTGCAGACATCAGTTGCGATAAAACCGAACTTTATACATGGCTAGTCCCTCTCAGCCTGTGGCTTGATGGACTCCCCCAGTTAATCATAGTTTCAGGATGAGCCCACACTAAGAAAAGCATTTACGTGCTGTCTGCTGCTTTAAAAAAATTAAACGAGCCATTTCAGCCTTTAGCCCAGACATTTAAAATAATCTGTGCATTTGCCCAAGTGCCATTACTTAAGACTCCCTTGGTGATATGGGTCACTGTGGTTCTGTTTAACACGGATACAATTATAGCTTTATTGTACCACCGAGATGAACAGATTTGCAGGAGAGATTCTGCATGGAGGTGTTTAAGGCAGCAGTGGAGGGGCTTTGCAGGTTTTATGTAAATTGTGCCTCGTTGTTGTTGCTTGCTCAGGTATTTGATGTGTCTTCACTGTGTGTGTGCAATAGGTTCGGCCTCCAAGACCTCACGTTGTTAAGAGACCGAAGAGCAACATCGCCGTGGAAGGACGCAGGACTTCCGTTTCTAGTCCAGAACAGTATGTATTTTTTCCCCCCTGCATTACTCCTATGTCCAGGTCTGGGGCTGGCCTAAAAAAGGAAAGAAGGTTTTGCAAAATTTCAAAAACAGCTTTAATTAAGAAACAGAAAACACAATTGATTTTGGAAAGTTGTTTTTTTTGTGCAACATTTTTAGAGGGGTAGAGAGGTGAATGGAAATTCAGAGTATCACCATGCTGTGGCCTCAGTTATTCCAAGATGCTTTTCTTTAAAAATTGTTTTGTGCAATTTTTCAGTTGAGAAAAGGGTTTTTTTTTAATTTGTAAAAGAAATGTGTTTTGAATGAAAATTTTTTACTGGCTCAACTTAGAGCTACTACTGCTGACACACGAAGGCACGGCACCGGGACGGTTCTCTAGCGAGGGCGTAAAGGGTTTCTGTTTCTGTTCATTGGTTTGGAGTCTCCCTGTCACCAGAAGCTCCAGAGAGAGCATGATAGTTTGGCCTCCCTTGTTTAGTATTAAAATGTTATCATCTCTTTAGAACGGATTAAAAAGTAAGTGAGTTTGGGAGTTTTCAATGCTCTCTGACAATCGTACGTACTGCTGATGCACGGGCTTCCTGGGTTTTGTTCCTCTCACAAATGCACTCTGTTCTGTTTTCCCAGAGATGGTTTTTTCCGTTTTTCTCAACAAACCCTAAGGAAATAAAAGGACGTTGTTGTAAGGAGGGTTGGTTTTTCCATTTTGAATGCAGCCTTAGCTAGAGTCAAACAATAGGCCATCAAGTGGAAAGTTAAAATGAGCGTCCTTCCCTACAGGCGCAAGTGAAGAACACTTGCTGCATTACTGCATGTCGCAGCATTGTCCAACACTTGATTTGGAATAAGTGATTTGACGTTTAAGTGTTTACACCTCTGCAGTTCCCTGTGTTTCGTTACCAAAATCCAGCCATGGTTTGCTGCATCCTTGGGGCTTGAATAAGTAGGTTACCTTCTCTCACTTCAGAACTTGGGAAGCTGTGAGCTGGGCATGCTGCCAAGGGCCATTGATCTTAGAGAGAAAAAGGTGTCTTGCAAATGCTGCTAGTGTCAGGACGGAGTTGTTTGGCCCTCCCCGGGGGACCCTCAGCCAGCAAGACAAGAACAGCAGCACCAGAGGAAATGCAAGTTGTCCGAACCAAACTTACAAGAAGATTTAATTGGTATTTCTTGTGCATGAAGCATCTTTGGTTCTGCCCTTGAAAAGTGGGCTTCCTTTCCATTTCTGAGGTATCCTGTATTTATTCAGCTGTAAGGCTTTCCTTAGCACTGGGCTCTGAATGCCGTGCAGATAATCGTATTGCCTCCTTATGTTCAGTCTGTGTGATTTTTGGGCTCGGAGCTGCGGTGGTTTGTCATCTCCGAGGTGAAACACATTAGTATGCTAGATGGCAAGGTGCTTTCAAATCTGAACCAATTCAATGAACTTGGGTCCTGCAGTTTCATTTGAATTTTGGCTGTTGAGCGAGCGAGCGTTACCTCACATTAGATGCTTGGTTAACTTTTCCTAACCATGTCAAAGCGGGGAGATGCTTAGTTCTTAAGAGTCGGCTTGAAAAGAACCGCTCAGGACCATCCTATGCGTCTTACAGTGGGATTTGATTGCCCTCTTGTGGAGGAGATTGCAAGCCAGGGCTCCCCTGCGTGCCGCACTTCACGTGAAGGCTGTCCCCGCACAAAGATTGCCATCCTCAGTTTAATTCAAGGAAACGTATCCCATTAACATGATGGTTTTTGAACTTTTGTGTGGCAAATAGGCCCGGAGTAAGTGAAAGGAACCAAGAGATAACCACTACGTGTGTTCTGCAGGTAGACGGATGTCTCTTTTGGATCTAAAGCTTCCCGGCGTTACACAGTTTAACTTGTTTTTGAGGTTTCTATTCCCTTCCTGTTGCAACAGTACTAGGGAGGTTTGGCTTATAAACAGTGCTATATAGTAATGCCAGTGAGTTAGTTCAGGTCCTTCTTGCAAACAGTTAGTTATCCCTAGCAATTAACTCGTTTAGCTAGAACTGCTAAAGCCCTGTCTCATGGAATACAAGCAATATCGATGAATATTTGCAGCCATAAATGGACTTGATGTTCAGGAGTTTCCCCTGATAGAGAACTTAATTGTCAGGTAATTCCTTGCAAGGTTTTTCTACATCTGAAGTGACCAATGGTGAGGAAAAAGTAGCAGCTCCTAATACCGGTGACATTTGTTGTGTGGTGCCAGTTTTTTTCTGCATCTCTTCCTGAGCTGTCCCGTCTTCCTTGTTTCTCCCAATCCAAATGCCATGTCACAACAGCAGTTGGATGTGTTTTTATTCTCTCCTGTCATCAACTTCAGCTGGCAGGACAAACTTCAGCAAACACAAAAACCTCCAGCCAGGCAATTGCGCAATATTGTAATAACCCTGCAAAGTCTCGAAGAGAAGTACGCCGGCGCCAGGGGAGGCAGGGGAGACGGAAGAGGGGCAGGTGCAGGCTGGTTCAGACTGAAATCTGCGCCGGAGAATTCAGTCCGGGAGGCCACTGGGCGAGATCGCCAGGCGCTGAGGATTAGCTGTACTCACTGCCAGAAATCGTGCATCTTCTGTTGTTAAAAGAAAGCTAATGTAAATGGCTTGAATCTTGGAAGTGCAGTTGGGCAGGTGCCTTCGAATAGGTGGGGACTTACTAACCCCGACCTCTCCCCCTTTACCCAGAGCAGTGGTTTAATATGTGGTGAGATGTCCTGTAGGCTGCCAGCACTGGCAGGGGGAACGTCCTTTCCTGGCCCAGCAGCTTCTGCTGGGGGTCTCCATCAGTGTCCTGAATAATGAACAGGCGGTAAATACAATGTACAAGTGACACCCAGTCGGTAGACATTGCAAATGCCAGTCGGGGCAGGGGGGACGGGGACAGTGACAGTTGGACCCAGCTGGGTTAGCTGTGTGAGTGGACCTTAGCAAAAAGAGCGTGGCTTTAAAAGAGGTGAAGAGGATTGATCGTGGGGCAGGCTGGGCTTTAATGGGGATCCGTTAAATAGGTAGAGGTAAAAGCCATCTTTAAATGCTTTGGACCTGGCTGTCCTGTTGTCACCCAGCAAGCACATGCTGGCAGCAATGTTTACCTTGCCTGCCTGCCCTTCGCTGCTTGTCAGCTTCTAGGTGAGTGTGCAGCCTGCCGGTCACAGCCAGTGACCCTTGGGTGCTACAGTAATGCCACAAGTGCCCACTGAATGCAGCGTGCTGCCACTGAGCCTGCGCGTGGTTTCAGCAGCAAGGCTTGGTGTCTAGCATGGAGCAATAAGCCGGCCCCAAACACAGAGGAATCCTGGTAGCCCGGAGTGCTGGCACAGCAAGTGGTCTGCTTTCCCCTTGGCCTGAAACCTGCCTCCCTCCAAGGGTTTATTCTGCTTCTCCTCTTTGGTGCATGCACGGTCTGTGACGCTTTCATGAGCCTGGCGTGAAAGTGAGCCTCCCTCGAACCATGTGCAGAGAACTGCATCTGCACCCCTGCCCTTCATACTCGCTTTTAGCCCCAGTGATGGCTCTCGGGACCAGTCCATTCATCCACTGGGCCATTTCTAGTCCTCGTAGCTTCCCCTCTGTCGAGCGAGCTGTGCTAGGAGTGGAAAGGCAGGCACCGGGATGGGGAGCAGTCATCTTCCTGCGGGTTTTCCCTGCCAAATAAACTTTTATTGCCGTTATTATAATTTCATAAGGGCTGCCAGTGCCCCGGCAGTTGTATATTCTCTCGCTACCCACGGGGAAGGTTGGTACTGCGCATTCCCCTGCCTGCATCTCTGCTGCAATGCAATCAAAGCAGAGAGCCCAAAGTGAATAGCTGTGAAGGTGGGTGGCAGACCTGCTGGGGGCAGGGGCGGGCAGGAATGCTCTTCCGAAAGTCAGCTGGACCGGCACTTCTGCTTGGTTGCAGTAATTCCCCGGCACATGATTTACCAGACGGTGGGTTTTCTCAGCTGCGGAAGAGCTCTGCAGGGTGGAGCTTGTCGTCACTAGGAGGCTTCTGTGCTGACTTGGGTTCTGAATGCCTCCGCTCAGGCTGAAAGGGACGGTCCCCGCACCGGACGGCTGATTTGGTCTCCGCCTGCCAGCAGACGGAGGCAGGATCTCCCGGGGCATTGTGGCATCGCCCCTTCTAGCCCCGGATGCACCAGTCACACGGCCCAATTCCTTCTGAAGCTGTAGTGTCACATCCTGTCTCTGAAAATCAAGTCCCCATGGCGTCCTTTCCACTTCTTACATTTATTAAGGTGGCCATTGAACACTGAGAAATGCGTGGTCCCTGTAACTACATGTTAGTATTTGTCCTAGGTAAGTGCAGGATGTTATCAGCAGTCGCTGTAAAGCCAGGCAGCAGTTGTTACAGTGTTTTTACATAGCTTTTATCATTAAAGCTTGCAGGGAAATTTTTTTCTTCGTGAAAAATGTCATTTTTGTTGTTGAAATGGAAGTTTTTCTTCAAAATTTTTAAGGCTTTTATCAGTCCAGAACCTGAAGTCTTTGTTTTTCAGCAATAGGAGCTGTAATATCTGCTTTGATAACTGAATGTTCCCCAGTGTTTTCAACAAAAAAGAAATGTTGTGACAAACCAATTTCATTATACAAGAGATGGAAGATGTTTGCTGGAAGTATTTTTACCCGTTCTAGTAATGGTTGCAATGGAGGTGCTTCGAAGGTGGGGAGCTTGCAGAAAGGACCTATGATCAGGGGAGCAGTACTGAACCTGGTGGCACTTGTAAGCCGTCCTCCTACCCTGGGACTTGGCCCAATGCTTGCTCAAACGCCACTCCTCCCATCCTGTGTCTGCTGTGAGCCAGCTGAGCCTCGGGTGGGTGACTCCAGGCAACTGGTGGGGACCCCCCAGACCACCTGCCTGGCGCTCCTGAAGGGGGGAGCGCTTTACTTGGAGTCGGAAGCAGAAGTCAGGCCTCATGAAGAGCGGTGGCCTCCTAGAGATGCACGCAGTGTCCATGCAGCACTTCCCACCTCCAAGGACTTTGCAGTCGCT